CCCTGTTCTGTCTCTCTCTCACACACACATACACACACTTTCTCTGTCTCTCTCTGTTGTTCTTTCTCTCTCACACACACACGCTCACTCTTTTTCTGTCTCTCTCTCACACACACACACACACACACACATTCTCTCTCTATCTCTCATTCTGTATCTGTCTCTCTCTCTCCCCCCTCGCTCACTCTCTCTTCTTCCCCCACCCCTGCCATCCCCGCCAGGTTGTGATGACCATCATCGTGGCCTTCATCCTGGAGGCCTTTGTCTTCCGAATGAATTACAGCCGCAAGAACCAGGACTCGGAAGGTGCGTGGGGGCGGGGCCTCATCTGTCTGTGTAGTCAGAGGGAGGAGGCCGGGTGTGAGTTCACAGCCCAGACTAGAGGGGTCACCATGTGGACCCAGACTTCTGCAGGGGGCGTGGGATGGTGCCAGGGAGGATTGTTAAGGTAGACCCGGCCAGGCTGGGGGCACCTCTTGGCTGTTGCCCACACACCACCCCCCTCCACCTGCCCCTAGTGGACAGTGGCATCGTCCTCGAGAAGGAACTGTCCAAGGAAGAGCTGGTCACTGTCCTCAAGCTGTACCGGGAGACGCAGGGCTCCGCCTCGGACATTGCCCAGCTGCTTAAGACCCTCTCCCAGATGGAGCGGTACGAGGTGAGAGCCAGGGCGAGCGCCCCACGGCCTTGGTGCCAGCGGCGGGCCCAGGCTTGGTGCCGTGCCTTCCCCAGCACCCACCACCTCAGATGGTGGGTGCCCTGGTGGGTTGTCCCCCCTGCCAGAGTCAGAGGTGGAGGGGCCCGGCCCTCACCCCAGAAAGCCCTGCAGCCTCTGCTCTTCCCCTAGCAAAACTGCGTGGTGTTCCTGGGGCGGAGGTCCAGGACCAAGAGCGACCTGAGCTTGAAGATGTATCAGGAGGAGATCCAGGTAGGAGCCCGCTGCTGCCTGCTCCGGCCTGGGGGCTGCTGGCTGGTCCCACTCAAGGAAGGACTGGGGAGAGAGGGTCAGAGGCATGGGGTCCTCGTGGGGGCCGCTCCTGATGGGGCCTAGAAGTCAGGGTTGGGCATGAGGGTCCCAGGTGGTTGCGGCCAGCAGACATGCCTGCCCTGCACTGCTGGTCCACAGTCCCCCACGGCATAGCGGCCTCACCAGCCTGGGGGGAGACACAGGGGGGGCTGGGTGGGGCGCACAGCCGCTCAGCACCACCCATTCTGCCCCAGGAGTGGTACGAGGAGCATGCCCGGCAACAGGAAGAGCAGCGGCAGCAGCCCCCCAGCACCCAGCAGCCCCCCGGCAGCCGGCAGCGCTCCCAGACCATCACCTAGCCCCCCACGGGAGAAAGCCATTCATTCTATGCAATAACATAGTATTCTTTTATTACGAGGGACTGAGGTCGCGTGGGAATATGTGGATATGTTCACCTATATTCATATGTAATATGCACATATTTATGAGGAGGAGGACATGGACAGACGAGGTGGGGGTTTGCTTGGTAACCACGCTGCCCTGTTGAACTCCGGAAGGCGGGGACTCGGGCTGTGGGGGACCCTTCCCACCATGGGAGAGGTCAGAGATGCCTGTCACGGAACAGCTTCTCACACGGATGACCCCACCCCCTCCACTGGCCGACCTCCCCTTCTGGTTCCTGTTTCCATTCTGTCCCCCCTCCACCGGCAGCCCCCACCCAGCCACTGGTCCTGCACACCCGCTCCAGGACCCCGAGTCTGGCTTTAGGGACAGAACCACTTAGGGAGGGAAGACACACGTCCCCGAGTCAAGTGTTTGTGTCTGGGACGTGGGGGACGGGCCTGGCCCAGCCCAGTGGGGACCTTGAGGTCCAGGGTGCTGGTATGGTGTCTGCGTAGCTCTGGAAACCTTTGCCCCCAAGCCCAGCGCTGAACTTTCCCCGATGACCTCCCTGGAATCCAGGGCCTACTGCCCAGGCGGGAAGGTCTCAGTGGGCAAGAGGCGATGACCCAGCCAGTTCTACAAACTTTGGGGGTGAAATCCCTCTTCCTGGTTGTTTAACCGTTTGGCCAGCTAGGTGTTGGGGTTGACGAAGATTTTGCTATAGACCAGCGGCCTGTCCCTTGGTGTGGTGAGGGCCCACTCCCAGAGAGGGACACAGAGGCCCCCAGCTGAGGTCAGCCGCCCCGGCCTCCCTGGGGCCAGACTCGGCAGAAGAGGGTGCTTGCCCACCCTACTTTCAGGCTGGTGTAGGTTTAGGGGAGTTCTTGTTAGCCAGGCCCCCCCAAGACCCAGCGAGAGCTGAGCTGGCGAGGCCGGGACCTGGTGGAGGTGGGCAGGGCGCTCGGATCCGGGGTGTGGGGGGACCACAGCAGAGCAGCGCTGAGAGGCGGCCTCGGTGGGCAGTCCTGGGACAGGACGCAGTGGCTTCCACGAGGCAGCCGTGGTGGGCATCCTGGCCCTGACCCCGGCTCCCAGCCGACTCCACGTTCCCCTGTGACCTGGAGTAATGGGGCAGGCCCCTCTCCACCCCCTTACCACAGGCCCTCCACTCTGATCATCAACGAGCCCCACGTGACGAGGGGACAGTGTGGGTTTGTTTCTAAAGCACAGCCTTTTGCAAGGTGAACCCCAAGGACGCGGGGTTCCCCATTCATCCCAGAGCCTGGCACTGAGCCCCAGGCCACACCTCCCCCTCCTCTCCCCAGAAGACAATGATTTGCACAGTCGGGTGCCTTTTTGTATGTGTGTGTGTGGTTTAAATGGGCATTTTGGAACCAGGGGTCAAGGGGCAGCTGCAGGAGGGCAGGGGTCCCCACCTTGGCAATTGGAATCTATTCCTTTCCCCCCACTTCTCTGGGCCAGATGGGCCAGCGCCCCCTGGTGGAGTGGGGGACTCCCAGGCAGGAGGGGCTGGGCAGCGCCCACCCAGCGGGGAACAAGTGCCCCTTAACCCTGCGACTGGCCAGGTTCCCCGCTCCCCTCCCTCATTGGAGTCCAGTGAAGCCTTGGTGAAGGCACTTTGGGGGAGCCCTCCTGCACCCCCGTCCCGCCCCAGCCTTACTCCAGAGAATGCTGACAATCATTTTGTAAAGACGGGAGGATGCTGGAAGGCTTTGTATGTGGTTATTTGCTACCTAGAGAATCCACTGTCTCAGACTTCTAATGTATTAATAAAAGCGCTGCTTTGTACATGTGTGGGCTGGCGAGTGATTTCTGCCAGGGGTTCAGGGGACAGGGGAGGGACTGTGGGGACAAGGGTGGAGTGATGGGACAGGGGGAGTGCTGTGGGGACCAGAGCAAGGGTGATATGGAAGAGGCTCCTTCCCTGTCTGTGCTTCACCTCACCCCAGTCCAACCCCACGTGGCCCTGAACCAAGGCCCCAGGGAGAGAAAACTAAGAACACTGGGGTTGTATATCTGACACACTTAATCATCCTTTTATATATAATTTTTTAAATTTTTTTTAAAGTCCCTTTTCTTTAAGCCAGCAAAAGGCCATCAGGCTAGCTGAGGTCCTGCTTGCTTGAAGGTCAGATCAGCAGCTGTGGTAGGAAGGCCTGGTGTGCTTCTGTCCACGTGTGGCTTCCTCCCACCCCCCCAGCCCCCCACAGCAGTGACCCCGTTTTGCAGCATGGGAGCCCCCAGTTCTGAGCAGGGGTGTCTGACCATGGGTCAGAGCCTGGAGGTGGTGCGAGAGCTGTGCCGTCCGGCGTGATGGCCACACGTGTAGTCAGTGCTCCACGCTGAAAAAACATGGCTTCTAGAAAATTCCAAATGGCAGGTGTATCTCATGTCCTGCTCAGGTCTCCGGACCAGCCTGTGAGACCTGTGCCCTGAGAGGTGTTCATAGCCGTGACCAGTGCCCGCACTGGTCCACCTCAGCCTGGAGACCCAGCACACGAGGTGCTCTTGGCTCTGTCCTGTTGCTGGCCACAGCCCACTGGTCCCCCTTGTCCACTTCATCATTGAGCCCTGGCACATGAGGCGTCCTCCTGGTGAGCAGCAGAAGTCACACGAAGGCGTGACAGCCATCTGATTTGAGGACAAGTTGCCGCTGGGCCTCCAGGCCCTTGAGGACAGGAAGGCACGGGTGGCTGTGGGAGGGCCTGGTGCACAGTGGACATCTCTAGCCCCACACACTCAGCCGGCCCGTGACCTTGCTCACCTCAACCCCTCCTCAGACATGCTCTGGGGATCATTCAAGAAGGCTCTGGCCCTTCTGTCCACGGTAAAGCCCAATCTCCACTGGTGTCTCAGTCAGAAATGGCACCACTGGGAGCTGACCGGGAGGGTGGCCTGGCCACTGTCCCTGCAGCGGGCAGTGACTTTCAGCAGCAAGAACTACCCCACCGGAGCTCCACTCTCCTCTATCCCACTGCCTACCCAATTGGGGGGCCGCCATGGTTACTGCCTCCTCACAAGGTTGCTGGGTACCCGCCTGCAGTGACATCCTCCGGGCACCAGACAGACTCCAACAGGCGGCCTCAGTCACACCCCCTTGAGGTGAATGACTCTGAATTCGGTGAGCAGGGCCACGAGGAGGAAGGTCACGTAGAAGAGCAGCAGGCAGACGCCGTAGGCTTTGCCCAGCTGGAAGCCCTGCGCGGGCACCGAGACCAGGGAGATGACCAGGCTGAGCCCCAGGGCACCCGCCAGCACCCACACCAGCAGTCCGTCCGGCTCCAGCTGGGGGAGGACAAAAGGAGAGGGGCCAGGTCACTGCCCGCCACAGTCCACGTGCTCCTGACTGCACCCGGGACCCAACCCTGAAGGGGGCTCCTGACCCAGACCTGGGGGATGGCTGTCCTACCCCCCTCACTGTCACCCAGCTGCCATCAGCCAAGATGTGTCCAGCCCCTGCCCTGGGGCTTCCCCAGCTCAGTCTGATACGATGACAGCTTCAGACATCTCGAGTTAAGGGCATTCAGGCCATGCTGCCCACCACCGACTAAAAAGGTGGGAAAGTGGGCAGACAGCTGCCGAAGTGGGTGCAGCAGGGCCTGCACGGTGGATGACGTCTGTGGAATAATGCTTAACAACTGGTCTGGGTTTGGATTTTCCTAAGAAAATACTGAGAGATATATATTATATATTATACATGTTGTTAAGTGCTGTCAAGTCGTAGATGACTTAGTGACCCTATGAACAAAAGACCTGAACACTTGTATAACTTTGGTCATTTCTCCATGTTCATAGGGTTTCTAGAGGCAAGCTATTTCTGAAGTGGATGCCTCTCCTGCTTCCAATCATGTTTTACTGGGAGCTCCACTAAACACGGTCCACCATGGGTAACCATGATCACATTTGACACAGCAGTGACACAGTGTTTAGCATCACAGCAACCACGAGTTACCTCTGTACAGCAAACGCACAGACCAGTGCTATACCACCTAGAAGAATGTCTGACAAAAAACAAAACCAGGCCTGAGGGCCTCAGATTGAAATCAACAGGCTTCTGTAGAACCCGGCTCCAGCAGATGACTTTCTAACTGGATTCCAGCCCCATTCTACCGATCAAAAGGGTTTTTCAATAGGAAGCCTTATCATGTCATCTCACTCCCCTTAACCAATCAACATTCCACCCTACTGCTCACCAATCCCAGCCAAAAAGCTTCTGTGGAACTCGGCTTCTGCAGATGACTTTCAATATATCTATCATCTATCTGAATCTATATATAATATATTCGCTTTGAGTCTCAAGCGACTCGACAGCACATAACATATATATATATATATATGACACAATCTATATGATTAATTTTTTTTTAGAGTAGCATTTGCTGGTCCAGTTGATGATAAGAGGGCTGTGAGTGTCTACTCAGACCCAGGCACCCCTGGGACACAGAGCTGGGTGACCATTCCTAGCAGCAGCACCGTCTTTCCTGCTCAGAGCTCTGGGTGGAGGCTGAGAACCTAGGAGCTCTGGTGGTGCTGTGGTTAAGCCATATGCATGCTAACCAAAAGATCGGCAGTTCAAACCCACCAGTCGCTCCATAAGAGAAAGACGTGGCAGTCTGCTTCCATAAGGACTGGCAGCCTTCACACACTGCAGGGCAGTCCCACTCGGTCCCACAGGGTCACTAGGAATTGGGAGTGGGTTTAGTCCACATCTGTCCTGTGTATTATTAACACAGAGGCTGCAGCAATGGGCTTGTAGCAATGATTGGGAGGGTGTGCATGACCCAGTCAGTGTATCTTTCTGTTGTAAATTCATCTCTGAGTCAGAAGTGATACAAATGCATTCAACAACAAGACCACATCCACCTTACCACTGTAACGCTGACTGGTCTGTAAACAGAAGCTCCTGGCTACACAGATGCAACAGATTTAAAAACTATCCTAAAAGCCCTGAATTTGGACCAGTTTCTCCTGGAAGTGTGGCTTTCTGAGATCTTTATGGCCTCCCAGGCCAGCGAGCTCCAGAAGAGGAAGAGGAGAGCGTGTGAGAACGAGGCCCCTTCCAGAAGCTTCTGGCCACTTACCTCTACCTCCAGGTGGCCCGGGGAGAACTGGAGCAGGCAGCCCAGCCCCACGCCCACGAGGATATCTGCAGCTCCGTTCAGGAAACGTTCTGGGAACAACCTGCCCACATGACCCTCGCTGCCCACTGGGTACAACCCTCAGGCACCAGAGCCCAGCTCTCCTTATGCTCTATTCCCACATCGAGACCAGAGGGGGAGACACACCCCACCCCAGGCACAGCAGCACAGAAGTGAGTGGACTGAATATTTTGCACTTAGTTTCTATAAATCATAAGAGATGACAGAAGTACTTAAATACCTGGGAAGTAGCCAGCAAGGAGAGAAACTGAGGCTGGTAGCGACGTGGCTAAGTGTCCTGTCTGAGGTCCCCCAGGGCACCTGGGGCTGCTGCTGTGTAACCAAGGCCATCCCAAGAAGGGGCTCCAGGTAGGGTTCCCGCCTTGCCACCTTACAACCAGCAAGGGCCACACCCCAAAGCCAGAAGGACCCCTGGGGTCCCATCCACTTGCAGTACCCTCACTGGTCCCTGGGGCACCTTCCCTGAAGGCACTTGACTGTACAGTGTGTGGGAAGCTGAACTGGGAGTAGTTTTTCAAAAATAGCTTAGAGAGGCAGTTTCCATCCCAAGTCTGTCTTCACAATAAATTTGTTTGCAGGTCAGAACCAATAGGTGCAGAATGTACCTGACGTCACTCAAATGTTTGTTTTGTGCATAAAACAAAGAAACCCTCCCAAGTTTCTTCCACCCTTATCATAATACCACAGGACTAGCAATACTGTTTTGATGTGTGGCACTAAAGTTGCACCTGTTTCGTCACAGTGAACTATGAACCTGGAATTTTTAACAGCTCCCAGCCTGTACTAAATGCTAAGTACTGTATCTTTTGTTGTTGCTGGCCATCCTATTGGACCTGACGCATAGCTAACCCCCAGGGGGTTTTCAGAGGCTGTAAATCTCCTGGCAGGATCTTGTCCATCCTTTTCTCCCACATTCCATCTCCAGGGTGCCCAAGAGCTCGGTCTGCCCCAAAGCCCCATTTTGCACATAAAGAAGCTGAGGCCCAAGCGGCTAGTCGGCTGCTTGCCGGCCTGATGTGCCCTTAAGAGGAGCTAAGGCCGAGGCCCGGGCACAGGGCACGCCCACGGCACCAGAGCCCACGACGCCAACCCCTGGAAGGATACTGAAGATGATTCCCCCGAAGCAGGCTGAGAACGCCATCCGCGGGTAGCCCTGGCGGGCCAGGGTGAGATCCGAGAAGACATCTGGGAGGAAAACAGATGAAAGAGGCTTTGAGAGGGGCCCCTGCCCTGGCTCCCGGGCTCCTTCCATCTCACCCACGGTCATCCAGTCAACAAATATTAATGTCCATCAGCTCAGTGCTGGAGGGTGTGACCACATTCCAATAAGACACAACACACTCCCTCCCAATAGAGACATCGCTGAGGGGAGGAGGGAGCTGGGGAACATTCTGCTGCTGATTTCCCTCTAAGTCCTCTCTATCGCTAGCACGCACAGCGCTGTGGTGTGAATTAGAAAAAGGTACCCCAGTGGAGGTGAAGAAGGCTGGATTTTAGTAACCTCCTCTGTAGATAGGAGACTCCTGCATAGTGCCCCACCTGGCCAACCGTACATGGCAGTCCTAGCTCGAGAAGGGTACACCGTGCACGTGAAAGCTTCCACGCCACACACACATCCACACGCTTGCTCCGTTCAGTTGCGCGCAATGGGCCTGCCTAGGGAGCCACCCTGAGTGTACTCGTCACCAGAAAAGAACTGGGCCACTACGGTCTCCCGGCCTAGGTACAGTATAGTCCAGGTCACCTCATCTTGATGCCCAAAGGACAGTGGGATCCAAGTGTATGCTCAAGGGATGCTCTTGACAGCCCTATTCAGACACAACTCTGGCTGGAGCCGAGCCCAGAACCCCACCCGACCTGACCCACCTCCAATGCTGTTCCCCCAGGCCAGCAGGGTGAGCCCCAGCACCGTGTTGCTCAGCCGGAAGACCACGCCCAATGACCGCAAGATGTTCACCACCTCCGTGGCGGCCGCCTTGATCCACAGGGCACTGGTCAGGAAGCCCAGGAGAGCAAAGAGCTGTGGAGGGAACAGCGGCTGATGGGACCAAGGCCAGCCCTCTGCAGGGGCTCGCTCTGAGTTCCTCATCTGTGAAATGGAAAGGGCTTTCTCCTTAATTAGAATGGGGAACCGCCTGGCAGTTCCTCAGAGAATGAAAACAACAAGTTAACATTCGACTCAGCATCCCGCTCCTAGGTATCTACCTATGAAAAATGAAAACATAGACTGAACTTGGACTTTCCCTCGTGTTTTCTTAGCAGCCTGATTCGTGAAAGCTCAAAATGAAAACACCATATACATCCATCAGCTGGTGGATGGAGATACAGCATGTTGGACCTCAGAACAGTGGAATATTACTCAGCCAGGAAAAAGGTACGAAGGTCTGATTCACACTATAGTGTGGACAAACCTTGAATATACTGTTGTTATATATTGACTCACAGCTGACTCTCCAGCAGATTTTTATTGACAGTAAAATGCACAGAAGGTAACTGCCCATCTTTCGCCCTGTGGAGTAGCTGGTGGATTCAAACTGTGTACCTTTGGGATGGCAGTGTGACTCTTAACCACTGAGACACCAGAGTTCCTTTTGACTAAATTTGTGAAAGGATATCTATGTGACTATCAGCAATCAACAAAAATATATATGTCAAAGAAATGAGTCACCGAATCCTAGTTGGTATGTGATTCTACCTCCATGAAGTGTCCAGAATAGGCAAAAGCTATAGACAGAAAGTGAACGAGTAATAGCTGCCTAGGGTTGGGGAGACAAGGGTGGGCTGATAATGAAAAGATATGTGATTTCTTAAGAATTAATGGAATATAATTGAGATGTCTCATAAAAGAGATGCAGACATGGACATGTTCACTAGCTGTGGTGTTAACCTGAAGTTGACTTTTTAAAGCCATTTCCTTAGTCCTCTCTGGTCTCCAGACACCTTAACTGCAGGTACATGGTCTTATAAATCATCAATATCTGTGGGACTGGGGTAAGAGAAAGTGTGCTTCCCACACTGAGCAGCAAGACTTGAGGGAGAATGGAGCAAGACCCTGATGAGAGTGAGACCCTGGTGATGGTAGTGGAGAGATTGTGGCATTACTATGGAGAAACTGTGGCAAGGAGTAACCAGAGGAATGTTGGGATAAAGGCAACAGTTAAAGTTTTGCTGTGCTTGCAGGAAAATTAAGGAGAAGCTGACTTATGCTCTGAAGGAAACCTTGCTGAATAATTTGGATTTGACTACTGAGATGAAACTGGAGCTGGGCTGGTGGAGGAATAGTGCCATGGGACTGCTGGGCTAAAACCTGGATTTGAATTGGGTGATATTCTTTGCCTTCACCACTCTTCCACTTATTTCCCTAATAAACCCCATTCTTAGTACCAGAACTTTGAATTAAGTCTGTGAGTCAAAAATGAAAAGAGAAAAAAGTGATTTCTTGCGGGGTGATGAAAATGTTCTAAAATAAAATGTGGAATAGCTCAACTTTGAGCCAAGGGAGCGTGAAGAACAGGCAGGCACACATCCCGCAGGACAGTCCACTGGGCGAAATGAAAAGGGCGGCATTTGCCTGAGGACAAAACCCAGAAGGCAGGAAGGGAGAGGACAGGAGGATGGAGGGAAACAGGAAACAGGAAATGGGAAGAGTGTGGTTATCCTGTGGGAACTGCAGTCAATGTCACAAAACAAAACATGGATGGATTGGAGAAAGGAAAACCCATTTGCTCCCAAATTACAACCAAAAGTTCAATAAAACTGACTTTCATCAAAATAACAAAAATTTAAAAAGAAAATTGATTATAGTGTTGTTTTCAAAATTATGAGTATGCTAAAAAAAAACAATGAATGTTTTTGGGTTATGTTTTGGGTTTTATGTTAAATGGGTGAAATCTGCTGTACACGAATTTCTCCTTCAATCAAAATTAAGCTGTAATTAAACTTAAAATTCCAGCTGCTGGTATGTACCATCGAGTGGGAACTGACTCATAGCTGACCCTCCAGAGGGTTTTCAGAGGCAGTTAATTGCATGGGAGGAGACTGCCCATCCTTCTTCTGTAGGGAAGCTGGTGGAATTGAACCATGTGCCTTCAAGACTGCAGAGCAGCTTCTTACCACGAGACCACCAGGAATTCCAATAGGAAGTAAAAAAATTCTCTGTGATGACTTTTTACAAAAAGCCTCCAGTGACTGTGATATTTGTGCACCTGCTGTAAGGAGAGTGACATGTGTCCCACCTGCCCCAGGGGTGCAGGTGTCATGTCTCTCCCTCCTCTGGTGGAGAGTCGGATTCTTACCCAGTGAAGCCTGGGGATCTCACTGTTGGATGTGGCAAAGAAGGTCACCGAAGCCACGGCAGTGCCCGCGATCACCACCATGGTCCAGACAGGAAGAATGCTGCCAATCGCGTAGAGGCCATCTGTGGGGAGCCAAGCAGGACACTGGCACCTTCCTCGAACTCAGACGTCAGCCCTGTGCCACCTCCTGAAGGCCCCCCCAGTCCCAGTGTCTGAGGGCTGGGCTGAGACCCCCAGATAAAACCACACATTCGGCCAGTGCCACCCACGTGTTCAGACGTGGCAGGGTTGTTATTGTTGGGGGGTCATCAAATCAGGTTCAACTCCTAATGACCCCAACGGGGTGAAACAATGCTCAACCCTGTGTCACATTCCCAATCCACCTCACTGAAGGTCTTCCTATTTTTTTTTTATTAATTTAGTTTGTTTATTTTTCATTTCAATGAACATCTACAGAGATTTTGGGATTCCAGTCATTCATTGTTGCACCCTTCTCCCCGCACAAACCCCTCCCCCCGTTTGCTCCTCTCCTTGAAAAGCCAAAGAAAAACTCCCTCATTGGTACACAATCCCCCCGCACCTCCCCAAACCCAACCCCTGCCCCCAAATATAATCCACTCTGCAACCCTCATTGCATACTCCTACGACAAAAATAATGCCCTAAAATATAACACTTTCAGACTATTTTCTCCCCCATAGACTTCAATGCCGTAAACATATTTCATCCAGTTTTTCTCGGTCTTACCCCCACCGCAATGCCAGCCTCACTCTACAACAGTGCACCATATAGCATTTGTCCCTTTGTGACTGAGATACCTCACTCAGCATAATGTCCTCCAGGGTCACCCATTTTGAATAATATTGCATGAGTTCCTTGTTTTTCAATGCAGCATAGTATTCCATTGTGCGAATATACCACAGCTTCTCTAGGGTCTTCCTATTTTATGGACCCTCCAGTCTGTTTCCAAGGACTGGCCTCCCCTGAGAACATGCCCAAAGTATGTGAGACAAGGTCTCAACACCCTTAGCCTTCAGGAGCACCCTAACTACACTTCCTGCAGAACAAACAGTTCTTTTGACAGTCATGTTCTATTCCATCCATCCACCCATCCATCCATCCACCCCCCCCCATCCATCCCGGTGGGACATGGGGAAATGAAAGACAGAGCTCTGCTCTCAAGCTCCAGCCACAAATGCAGAGAAGAAGCACGTGCGGAAAGAAAACAGACTCACTCTAGCCTTTTGCAAACTCTACGCACCATCCTCACCGACCCCATGACAGACATTACTAATCAACCTTGATAGTTCTGTCCAGCTGAGCTGTAAGGCAGCTAGGCAGTATTAATGGATTGATGTCATTCCAAGAGATGAAAGAGGGTGTGAAATACATCCTTGTTCATTGACACTGAAGTCCAAACATCCAACAAGCCCATCGCTCAGCAAGTTATAAAAGTTCTAGACCTTTTCTACTACAATGCTAAAGATAGGGAGACCTATGTGTAGATAGAACACTATACTTCTCCATCCTCCACATTTTTCACCATTATGGAGCTGGTAAGGTGTCCTGCTGGCATAGTTAGTGAGTAACACACTGCACTGGTAACCAAAAGGTCAGCAGTTTGAATCTCCCAGCAGCTCCAGGAGCCTAAGATGGGCAGTCTTCTCCCATAGGGATTTACAGGCTCACAAACTCAGTGGAGATTCACTACAAATTAGAACTGCCTGCTCATCTATGATATAGGCTTGTTTAAGGGAATCATAAAAATGATGATCTGACCACTCAGATACAAACATCAAGACTTCCCTTTTGCTTCCTTATTTACTTTTTGGTCATACCTACTGGCTCGGCGAGGAGGAGCCCTAGTGCAGGGGCGCAGGGGTTTAATGCTTGACCGGTAACCAAAAGGTCAGTGGTTCAAAGCTACCAGCCACCTTCTCAGGAGAATGATGAGGCTTCCTGCCTCTCTACAGGTGACAGCCTCGGAGACCCTGCGGGGCAGGTCTCTGCCCCACACGCCCACTCGTAAGTTGAATCGACGTTGGCAGCCACAGGGCAGGGACGTGCTCAGGATTCTGTGGCTGGCTCAGGAGTGGAGTGGTTAAGAAGAAGGTTCTGGAAGGGAAGGAGGAGAAAGGTGGGCTGGCGTGGGGGAGGGGACACTCACAGGCTCCAGACTGCAGGGTCAAGACACAGAACAGGGGGCTGGTCACCAGGTGCAGGCAGTTGAGGGGCCGCTTCCAGTTCCGGTCTTCCCTGTCTGGGTCCACAACGGGCACCGTCAGGAGCAGGAAGAACTCCACAGGCAGCTGGGGGGGGTGCAGAGGCGGCATGGGGTCAGGGGGGCTGAGCTCAGCCATGCAGGACAAGGCTGCACTGCAGAAGCCCCCACCGAGCTCAGAACCCGTGTGTGTGTCCCCAATGCTGTGACAAAAGTCCCCAGACTTCCTGCCCTAACTACTCTCCTACACCCCGGGGCCAGAGTCCTAAACCAGGCGTCCCTTCTTGGAAATCCTAGCACAGAACCCATTTTTATCCTTTTTCCAGCTTCTAGAAGCCAAGCACTGGTGGTAAGCCAAGCCTAGTGGTAAGAAGCTGTGCTGCCACCCCAAAGGCACATGGTTCAAATCCACCAGCTGCTCCGTAGGAGAAAGGTGGGCAAGCAAGTCCTGTGTGATTTTGTACCCATGAAAATCCTTTGGAGGGTCAGCTATGAGTCAGTCTCAACCTCACAGTACACAATAACAACAGAGGCCAACCTGCTGGCAGAGTGGTTGAATGCTTGGCTGCTAATCTCCAGGTTGGTAGTTCAAACCCACCAACCACTCCACAGGAGAACGACGTGGCTGTCTGGCGTCATGAAGATTGTTGTTGTTGAATGCCGTTGAGTCAAGCATGACTCATAGCAACTCTATGAACAAAAGACCTAATGCTTTTCCATAACGATCGTCATTTCTCCACGTTCATAGAGTTTCCAGAGGCATGTGGTTTAGGAAGTGGATGCCACTCTTGCTTCCAAACCTGTTTTACAACTGGGAGCTTCACCAAACACTGTCCACACTGGGAAACCATTCTGGTATTTGATACCCCAATGGCACAAGGTTCAACATCGCAACAAACCCAGGTTACTTCATACAGCACATTGACAAAAAGGGATGTACAAAGTGGAAGAGTGTTCTTCCAGATATAACGGCACTAGTCTAATTCAACAGTGGTTAATTGTCATCAAGTCGAATACGACTGCGAGTAAGCTATGCAAAGACCTGAACTCTGTTCTATAACTAACATAATTTCTGTACAGAACACTGTTCTAGAACTAACATCACTTCTGTACTTTCGAGTTTGTCGAGGTGAGTTTGTTGTTGTTGTTAGGTGCTGTGAAGTCAGCTCTGATTCACGGTGGCTCTCCGTACAATAGACAGAAACCCTGCCCGATCCTGCACCATCCTCACAATAGGTGCTTCCGTGCATGGTCTGGTGCCATAAAGACGCACAGCCTTGAAAACCACAGGAATCTGTCTACAAATCTGTGCTGTAAATTCTAGCACTGTGCCTGGGCAGGAGTGGGCTTTGTTACGTGAACGAGACAGGACTGGGATGCAGTGTGCCCTGAGACTGTCTCTTCTGACATAGAAAAGTCACTGTATTGAGGGGGCAGAACAGAGGAGGAGGGCAGACGGAGGCCAGGACCCGCGGAGAGCCCCAAGGGACCAGGAAGCTGAAGAGGCAGCACCTTCCCCCAGACCCAATAGATGCAGAAAGAGGTTCCCCTAAGCGGGCTCCCCACATCTAAACCGCAAGCCTCCTCCAGTGTGAGCGAGAAATTTTTTATTTGTTCAAGTAAAAAAATAAAGCAAGTGAGTGAGGGAACCCCAGGGACAGCCGTGCTCTGTCCTACACGGCACCTTGTTCTTGTTGTTGTTGTTGTTGAGTACCATCGAGTCAGAGCTAACTCATAACCCACCCTCTGGCAGGTTTTCAGATGCAGTAAATCTCAGGGGAAGAGACTGCCCAGAAGATTCAAACCGCGTGCCTTCAGGATTGCAGGGCAGTTCCTTACCACTAGGCCACCAGAGCTCCCTACAGGGCTGCTAGGAGCCAGGAGTCACACACAGGCAGCGTCCCCACCCCATCTCCTACCTTGAACACCTTGAGAGCCCTCCAGTAGGCCGACTTAATCCTCCACTTTCTGTAGTCCAGCGGGTTGAGGGCCTGGACCAGGATCTGGGCCGTGGTCTCCTGGGAGGGGATGAGTGGCCGGTACTCGTCCCCTGTGTGTATGGGACGGTCAGACGGTAGGGAAGACAGATGCTATGCGGGGCTCAGCCTCCAGGAACCCTCCCACCTTCCGCCCACCAGCCCTCCCAACCCCTTGGCAGATGGCCCAGCCCACAGGCTTGGAGTCTTATTGCTGGGGGGTGGCCTGGATGGCCCCGTCTTCCACCCCAGCCCTGGGCCTGGCAGACGCTGGACTCACCATAGTCATAGCTGTTGGTGTTAGAAGACACCTGGTCATCCTCTGAGTCTGTGAGCAGCTCTGTGGGTGACAGTGGCATTGCTGCAGGCCAGCTAGGGTGCCCTGTCCCCAGCTCCCCCTACTATCACTCCAGGGGGGCACCTCTGGGAAGGGGGCAGTTTTGGGGAACAGCTGTGCAGGCCCTCCTCATTCTGCATTCCTGAGCTGTTGTTGTTGTGTGTCCTCGAGCCAGAACCCACTTCTAACTGACCCTCCAGCTGGTTTTCAGAGGCATAAGAGACTGCCCGTCTCGTTCCTGCTGAGCTGCTGGTGATTTGAACCGCGTGCCTTTGGGTTGGCAGTGCAGCTCCTTACCACTAAGCCACCAGAACTCCTTGGTCACTATGGAAATATGCAATAGCAGGGGGGGCCTTGGGGGTCTGGGAGAACAGAGTGTCTCCGTTCTCGCTGATCTCCCTTCTCTCTCACGCATGCTCCAGACCCATACCTGGGGTTCCCGGCGTGGAGTAAACCAGGGATTTCCTCCGCTGCCATCGGTAGATCCAGGTGCAGAGAACCACGGTGAGTACATAGAACACGTAGAAGCCCAGGAACGCTGCAGACAGGAGTGCACGCTGTCACCAGGGGGCGTCCTGGGTCAGGGCACGGGGGGGGGGAGGGGCCTGCGGTCCGACTGCCGGTGTCTGTCAATGTTCCTATCTGTAGTAGGCCTGCCCAGTCCCAGCTGGTAAATGGTCATTTCCTGAGCCCCTCAGGCTCACTCCTGCCCTTATGACCCATCTTCCCATCCCCAGGTGCCTGGTAATCCAGCAATAAAGGGGGCAGCGCCTGGCATAGACGGAGGCTTTCAAAACCCCAATCCAGAGCTGCAGTGCAGAGTCCCGCCCTTGCCCGGGGAGGTGGTCCCTGATTTCCGCATCCCTACAGCCCTGTCTGCAGGGGTTCCAGACAGAGGGAGGCACAGCAGGAAATATGAGGGCAGCAGGACAGCTGGCATCGTGCCCTGTTTCCCCAATAGGCGCTGCATCTCCAGTGGGCAGCCTCATGCCCACAGATCCAGCCCTGCAGGCCTGGTTGAGGGGGAGAGGCTCCCACCATGATGGTCCCTGGGAGCTCTGGTGGCCAAGTGGTAAGAAGCTGTGCTGCACCCAGCAATTCCACTACTGGGAATATACCCCAGAGAGACCATAAATGCCACCCAAGCAGATATATGCACACCCATGTTTATCGCAGCTTTGTTCACAATAGCAAGGAGTTGGAAACAACCCAAGTGCCCATCAACAAATGAATGGACAGAGAAGCTGTGGTATATTCACACAATGGAATACTATGCTGCATTGAAAAACAAGGAACTCATACAATATTATTCAAAATGGGTGACCCTGGAGGACATTATGCTGAGTGAAGTATCTCAGTCACAAAAGGACAAATACACCATGGTGACACTGTTGTGAAACAGGACTGACATCAGGGTTGGGGGGAGACTGAGAAAGATGGGATAAATAATGTACACTGCATTGAAACAGATGAGGGAGAAAACTGTTTAAAAGGGATGTGTGATTAGGTATTTTTATCATGACTGGAGTCCAGAGTGAAGGCTGCATGGTGGAATGGACCTGGGGGTAGGGATTGTAAAACAATGAAAGAATTTTTCTTTTACTTTTCCAAGAGGGTAGTGTACTGGGGGGGAGGGCTGGGAGGGGAGAAAAGTGCAACAATGAATGAATGGAAATCCAAAGTCTCTGTAAATTTTCATTGAAATTAATAATAAATTAAAAAAGAAAAGGAAAATGAATATTTGTAAAAAAAAAAAAAAGGAAGCTGTGCAGCAATCTCAAAGGCACTTGGTTCAAATCCACCAGCTGCTCTATGGGAAGATGGGCTTTCTCCTCCTGTGCGATTTGTTGCCTCTAAATACTCCTGTAAGGTCAGCTACGGGTCAGTTCTTTTATAAATTTTTTTTAAAATTTTTTTATTATTTTGTGTGTACCGTCAAATCAGATCTGACTGGTACAGGAGGAGACTGTTCCTCCTTCTCCATCAGAGCATCTGGTAGATTTGAACCGCTCACCTCTGGGATTGCAGTACAGCTTCTTGCCACTAGGCCACCAGAGCTCACCTACGGGTCAGTTCTGAATTGACCACAAACAGCAATCACATGATGTCCCTGGGAACATTTGGGTGGGGGAGCGCCTTATCATCTTATCACCTTATCATCCCTGGTTGTTTTCCTTAAACAAAAGCAAAAACAACCCCATAACTAGAGTTGATTCTGATTCATGGTGAACTCACAGGAATGACAGAGTAGAACAGGCTTTGTGAGGGTGTAACCTTTATGGCTGATGGCCAGGCCTTTCTTCTGCTGTCTACCAGGTGGGTTCACACCAACATTTCGGTTAGAAGTTGAGCCTTTTCCTCTGCCTAGTAAACAGTCTCTCCACTGACATGTCCGGACCCAGCTCAATGGAGGCTTTGCTGCTGGAAGTCACCCTCAGCGTCCCAGACCTACTGCTGCCTAAACTCTCTCAGTATCGCCTGCCTCTGGCCCTGGCCCCTCTGCCTATCTGAACACACTCCCTTTTTGCTCTGGCCAGCTTGGATTCAGATGTGCCACTATGAATCAGAGGAGCCCTGTCTCCGCCCTGTACCCAGGGAATGAATCCCTGTGTCTCCAACCCACAATGGCTCACCCAGAGCCCAGGCCAGTGTGACCCTGCCACAGTAGAGAGCTGTGAAGGTCAAGAACACAGCCACCATGTAGAAGATGATGTCCCTGAGGAAGGGCCTGGAGGCGGCTGTGAAGGGTCGCAGGATGGCGATGCCACCGGCTACCACCGTGGTGACCAGCACGCCGGCGCCTGCAGGAGAGGACAGACAGCTTAGGTCAGCCTGCTCTGCACCCACCCCCCTGAACACTCCCATCCACACCCTGCCAGGACTGCCCTTACCAAACAGGGCCCCCAAGGCCAGGCCAGCCGTGCGAGGGTCCGAGAAGGCCACCAGTGCGCTGAAGATGTCAGGGGCTCCATTCCCAAAGGCCAGGAAGGTGACACCATGGGGGGCTGTGTCAAGGAGGGTCACCGCAGAGGCTGTGCCGTGAGGCACCTGTCTGTCCCCCTCACAACCTCCCCAGACTGCCTACTCCCCCTCCCTCCCTAGACAAAAGGATACTGCCACGTTGTGGGAGAGCTTGAGGCTGGTGGCGATGGCCGACAAGTTAGGACAGAAACTAGACAGAACAAGCCAACAGTTAAAGTGAGTAAGAGGTGATCACTGCTTAGAACGGTCATAGGATGTGCACTGAGATTTAATCTTTCGCAGGTCCCATGAATCAATTTTATCCTCTTTAGTAATAGATGTTGGAGAGAGGATGTGGCGAGAAAGGAACTCTTATACATTGTTGGTGAGGATTATAAAATGGTACAACCACTCTGGAAGGCAGTCTGGGGCTTCCTCAAAAAGCTGAACATAGAAAAAAAATTTTTAAAAATAATATTTTAAAAAAAAAAGAAGCTGAACATAGAAATTCCATATGACCCACTACTTGGAATATACTCTGAGAACATGAGAATTGAGGCACAAACAGAGATTTGTACACCAATGTTCATAGCAGCATTATTCACTGATGCAAGAACATGGAAACAGCCCAAATGTCCAACCACAAACTAATGGATTGAGAAATTGTGGTATATTCACACAGTGGAATACTATGCAGCACGCAGAAGCAATCATTTTGTAAATTATTCCCTAACTTGGGAAGGACTGGAGAACATTATGCTGAGTGAACTGACTCCGTCTCACAGGGATAGATATTGCATAAAAGTAGAATGAGTATAAGGATGCAGGGGGGGTGGGAGAGGCTGGAAGCAGAGGGATGTAGATGTGCAGGGGGAGGGAGGGGGATTAATAATTGGGTTGTACAATTTGATGGGGGATGTGAGGGAAATTGAAAAGCTGTTTTTGAATTTATATTAGAATTTTATAAACTAGTGAAGAAAAAAATGTAAAATAGAATATATATGAATGATTGCATAAAACAAAATGTATACGAATGAAACATACTATAAAGGTATTATATGTCACAGGAGATCAAGGGCATCATTGGCCTAGGACAGAGCGCAGAAGGAGGGAGCAGGGAGCATAAGCACGGGTGGCTTAATCTGTAGGGCACTGTACTGCCATCCCCAAGGCCATGCCTCTCTGGTGGTTGGTTCAAAGCCACCAATGACTTTGAGAGAAAAAAGATGGGCACCTCCCACTTGTGCTACTTGCAGCTTCTGAAAACCTTCTAGAGGGAACTTATACCTGCTGAAAACCTTCTGGAGGGTCAGCTATGATTCAATTCCAACTCGGTGGCACTGAGTTTGAGTTCTGAGGTAAAGCTCAGAAGGCGGGTAGGGGTAAGATAAAAGGATTGATGGAAACAAGAATCATAGGGAGGAACTGGGAAGAGTGTAGTTATGTGGCAGGTACTGTAATTAAGGTCACATATGAAAATATGTACAAATTCCCTTTCAACCATTTGCCTGTCACAATTTAATAATTTGACCAACTTGATCTGTAATATTCATTCAAATCAATATTTTTAAAAAAAAAAGAAAGCAAATAATTGAGTGCTTCTACTGCCAATTCTAATTGATGTTCTTATAGAAGCAAGGAGAGTTGCCCCATAACATATTTTAGGCTAATATTGTCAGGGTTGGTGAGGATGAAGTCACAGAGATCATACTACACACATCTCGGCACTGCGGAAGAAAGAGGTGGCGTCAGGCACGAGTGTGGGTAATATTTATAGAAACAGACTACTAACAGCCACATATTTCTCCCCCAGAGCAGCTGGTTGGTTCAAACCATTGCCCTCTTGGCTGGCAGCTGAAATCTTTAACCACTGCACCATCATCAGTCCTCTAACTCCCCTCTAGCGAAGTAGGGGGTTCACTGGTAGAATTATTCCTTCTACGCAGGAGACCCTAGGTTTGAATCCCAACCAATACTTTGTGCACAGTCACCACTCATCTGTCAGTGGAGTCTTGCATGTTGGCTACAATGCTGGACAGATTTCAGAGGAACATCTAGACCAAGACCAGGAAGAAAGGCCTGGTGATCAATTTCAGTAAATCTGCCAGTGAAAGCTATAGGATCATAGCCGTCTAATTCATAACCAATCCTGAGGCTAGGCAGTATTTCATACCCAGGGTAGCCATGGCTGATCCAATGGCAGCTAACAATACAATGTTGTTGCTATGTTGTTAAGTGCCGTCGAGTCGCAGGCAACTCCTAGCGACCCTATGAACGCAAGTCCTGGACACCTCCTGTATAACTTTTGTCCTGTCTCCAACTTAATAGGGTTTCCAGAGGCAAGCTATTGTGGAAGTAGATGCCACTCCTGCTTCCAAGATTGTTTTAATCGGGGAGCTTCACCAAACACTGTCCACCATGGGTAACAGTATTCAGCTTCACAGCAACCATGGGTTATCTCTGTATAGCAAGTGGACATACCAGGGTTACATGACCTAGAAGATTGTTTCACAACACAATAGTCCCATTCTTTTCCCAAACCTAGGGACCACCAGAATATCTACTTGCTAGAACTCTGTTTTCCCATCTCTCAAATAGGCGTGAACCCAAGATCAAACTCACAACTTTGCCGCGGTGACTCCCAGAATCAGAAACAGGTAGAAGAGCCAGAGAACCTGGTGGGAGGAAGAGAAGTGTGAAGGTCCAAGCTGGTCACAAGCCACCCTTCGCCAGGCTCCCTGGGGACAGGGCCTCACGTAGAGGGTGACGGCCAGAGGGAGGAGGCTGGGCGAGAAGCAGCAGAAGATGCCCTCCAGGTAGTCCAGGTAGCCCTCTGAGCTTTGGCAGTCAGGGTTGTTGCGGATGAAGTCACAGCGATTCGAAGCATTCACGCTACACACATCTCGGCACTGCGGAAGAAAGAGGTGGCGTCAGGGGCCACGAGTGTGGGTGACTGGACCATGTGTGTCCAGGCTGCTGCAGTCAGTCCCCTCCAGCCTGGGCTCTAAACCCCTCACACCTTCTGGGCACCCAACATGCACTTTTCATTTTACACTTAAACATCTTTTTTTTTTTTTTTAAATAAACAGATGGCATTCGTCAGTCGTGTCTAAACAAACCAAACAATATATAAAGACTATTAAATCCCTCTTTGTGATTCTGCCTTCTATAATTCCACTTGTCTTCAGCGGTCCTGCCATGATTGGTTTGAAGCACGTCTTTTTTCTTTTTTTACTTGTATGCCATAGAATCAGATCCGACTGGCACAGGAGGAGATTGCCCCTCCTTCTCCAGCAGAGCATCTGGTGGATTCAAACTGCACACCTTCAAGATTGCAGCACAGCTTCTTGTCACTAGGCCACCAGAGCTCCCTTTGAAGCACGTCTTTATGTCTCAGTCCCATGACGTTTCTACATGGAAAAACCCAACGCTGAAGCAGAGTCAATTAGTCCTTAGAGTGACCCTACCGGTCAGAGCAGAACTGCCTCACTCTGTGTCTGAGGCTGTAAATCTTAATAGAAGACCACCCCATCCTGTCCCCTGCAAACCCTCTGGTGGTTCTGAACCACCCACCTCCCAGTTAGCCATCAAATGCTTAACCACCGTGCCACCAGGACTCCTTACCCTTGTAAATACACCTGACTGACAATCCAAACCCCAAAACCACTGCGGTGGAGTTGATTCAGACTCAACCCTCCCAACTAGTTTCTGGGGTCAGAAATCTTACCAGGAGGAAACGGCTTCATTTTTCTACTAAGGTGTGGATGGCTAGTGGATTCAAACCAGCAACCATTATCAACAGTCCAGGGCAAACTAACACACCATGCCACGAGGGCTTCTGGATTTAGAAAGACAGTTTGTCATCAATTTCTACTGATGGTGACCCCGTGTTTGTCCCTTCAGGAGTCCTGGTGCCAGAGTGTGTGATATATGTTGTCTGGCTAATCTAAAGGCTAGCAGTTCAAATCCACCAGCTGTTTCCTCAGGAGAAAGATGGGTAGTCTCCTCTCAAAAATCTACAGCTGGGCCCCTCAGTGGAGGGCCGTTATGACTCAGAAATGACTCAAAGACAACGGGTTTGGGTTTTTGGTTCCGTAGGGTGTCTCGGTAAAACTGTCTTCCATGGGGTTTTCAATACCTGAATTTTTGAAAGTCAATTTCCAGGTATTTCTTCCAAAGGCACCTGAGAGTGACCCTGAACCTCCAACCTTTGAGTTAGTTCACCTTTTCTAGCAAATTACTGTTTTATCCAAAACCAAAACAAGCCAAAAAAAACCCCTGCACATCCTGCATCTGTCTTTTTGCAATTCTGTTTTTATCTTTCATGGTCCTTTGCTCAAAATCATGAACAACTTTTACATCAATGCAAACAATGATAATTCAGATAATAAAGCAAAGTCAACACTTTATAAATGCCAGGCCCTGAGCTAGGACCTTTACCAGGTGTCTCGATCCATCGGTACAACATGCGGAAGGTGATGTGATCACTCCATTTTACAGATAAGAAGAATGAGGCAGGCATGGGATCCAAGTTCATTCAGTGGTAGAGTCAGGATTTGAACCTTGGTAGCTGGAAGCTCCTGAAGTCTTGTTCTCTCTCTCTCTCACATACACACAGTCTCCCTACAGACTCTTTCCTTCGCAGCAGTCTGGAAGTTTACTGTGCTTGGGGCCACTGTCACACTCACATGAGTCCGTTCTGTCAATGTCACGGACACTGAACTTCCTTGCACGTGACTGAACCCATGAGACTATTTTGTCAGGAAGAATTCTAGAAGTGAAAAGTGCTGACTAAGTCAGAGGGTAGCCCAGGTCGGGTTCTCCCAGAAATTGATTCCTGCTCAGTTACACGGACAGATTTACCTGGTGAGAGCCACGGATCACCCCAGGGCCCCTGCTCCTGGGGTGTCCCCACAAGAGGCAGCAGTTAATTGCACAATCGCAGTAACCACAAACCACCTTCCTATCTGTAAAACGGGCATAACTGCTTGTCTGAGACGCTGGCCAGGAAAGCACTGTCTACCCAGAACTGGCCGTTCCTGGGGTGGATCTGACTCACAGTGGTCCTGCAGCGCGGAGCAGAACGGCCCCTTAGGGTGTTAGGGGGTCTTCATCTTTCTCCTGTGTGGCAGCTAGTGGACTTGAACGGCTGCCTTTTCAGTTAGCAACCCAAGGCTTAACCCACTGCTCCCCAGGGCTCCTGGAAACACTTGAAGGCTCCCCAGAGCACACGGCATTGGACTGATCCCAGCGTACAGCAACCCCCCATCTGGGGCTGTGAATCTTTTAATGATCTTCCTTTCTCCCTTGGGGCAGCTGGTGGATTTGAACTGCTAACCTTTCACTTAGCAGCTCAGCATATAACTTGCTGCCAGGACACCCAGGGTTCCTTCAAAGCCCTTTGTTGTTGTTGTGTACCGTAGAGTTAGAACCAACCCGTAGCTGACCCTCCAGTGGGTTTTCAGAGGCAGTTTAATCTCACAGGAGGAGACTGCTCATCCTTCTGCCGCAGAACAGCTGGTGGGCTCGAACCATGTGCCTTCAGGATTGCAGCGCAGATTCTTGCCACGAGGCCATCAGAGCTCCCCTTCAAAGCACTTTACAGCACCATAAAGTTAGTGTGAGTGCCAAGCCTTCTTAGCTCCGTAAGAGGAGACATTTGTTAATCTCATTGGGGTACTCTAGACCCCTGTGTTAGTGGGGCGTCCAGAGGTCATCCATGATTATTCAATTCATTTCACTATCTTCTCTGAGTCCAGATGTCATCCATGGGTATTCAGTTCATTTCATTGTCTTCTCTGACTTCCCCTCCCCTCACAGAGGTCAGGGTAGAATGACGCAAGCCCCGTGAAGCCTATCTCAAGAGCTCGAGCTTGGCCTGCCTCTGCCCTAAGGGGGAGAGCCTTCTAATCTGATTTTGACAACTGTCTCTGCTTAAGACTGCCCATTGCCTCCCCCACTCAGTAAATAATAAAAGCCTGTGTTAAGAACTTAACATGTTCATCCTGTACAACAATCTTACAAGGAGGGTTTGTCTCCCTATTATACAGATAAGAAGTCTGAGGCAGGCACTGACTTGCCTCCCCGCTTCAGTTAGTAAGGTCTTTTGTAATCTGGCCACCACTACCTCTTCACTTTCATTTCAACACTCTCCCCATCATTCATTCACTGTGCACAGCCTCCTCATTGTTCCAGGAGCCGACTCCTGCCTCAAGGCCTTTGCAGTTGCTGTGCTCTCTGCCTGGAACATTCTTCCCTAAACTGTGCAGGAGCGGCTTCCTCTTGTCAGGTAAGGACCTGGCTCATAGGCTATTTCTGCACAGATGTTAACTGTGGCTGCCTGGTCTGAAACAGCTGGAAATCAACTCCCCTTCCTCATCACTCCATTCCTTTCATCATTATTATTATTATTACTATTATTATTATTATTATATTTTTATGTGTGTCCAGTCAAATCAGATCTGACTGGTACAGGAGGAGATTGTCCCTCCTCCAGCAGAGCATCTGGTGGATTTAAACCACACACCTCTGGGATTGCAGTGCAGCTTTTTGCCACTAGACCACCAGAGCTCCCTTCCATCCTGCTCTTTATCTGTCTTCTCAAGAGCCTGTCTTTTGTCCTGGGCTCAGCAAGCTGCCTGACCCACAGGAGATACTCGATTGGAAGCATGTACATTCCTACGGCACCCAGTTTCCTGCCTGGATACTCACGTCCACTGCGGGAGTCTTGTTCACATTTACAGGTAGAAGCAAGGGGCTGACGGGAAGCCTAGCGGTTGGACCCCCAGGCGCATCTCCAAACACGATCTCCACCATCAGCGCCCTGCCCGCCATCAGCCCACGTCTGGCTTGCCACTTTCCCTGCTGAAGTATGTCTGCTCCAGACACCTGGCGGCCCGCGTCCTGCAGAGCAGAGGAGAAAGAACACTTTCACCAGACTTTAGCAGCCAGAAGATTCTCAGCTGAGGAGCTGCGTCCCCTTGAATCTCCATTAAAGGAAAACTGACATAGAAACCCACATCCTAGATTAGAAACCTCTCCGAAGGTGTCTCCCTGGAAGCCCCAGTCCTTCCCGCAGCCCCAGCCTGGTCCCTGAAACCAGAAGAGCAAGGCTGGGAAGGATTTCAGACGGGATTCAGGGACCTATGCACAGGGGGCAAGCTGGAAGAAGCCTCAAAGAAAATAGACTTTGTAGGGTAGGCGTGGCCTTGGGGCCACTGTTTGGAACCCCACAAGAGACTACTCCCATCTTATTTTAAAGGTAGGTAGGTAGGTAGATAGATAGATAGATAGATAGATAGATAGATAGATAGATAGACAGACAGACAGACAGACAGACAGATAGATAGATGTTGTTGTTGTTAGGTGCCGTTGAATGGAATACGATTCATGTTGAGTTGTGGAGTACCATCAAGTCAGAACCAACTCGTAGCAGGCCCTCCAGCAGGTTTTCAGAGGAAGTAAATCACATGGGAGATTGCCTATCCTTCTCCCACAGAGCTGTGGGAGGATTCGAACCGCGTGCCTTAGGGATTGCAGTGCAGTTTCTTACCACCAGGCCACTAGAGCTCCCTGAGTCATAACTCCTAGCAACCCCATGAACAACAATTCTGAACCCTGTCCTATCCTGTGCCATCCTCCTCATCCTTGACACACTTCAGCCCACTGCTGCAGTCACTGTGTCAGTCCGTCTGGTTGAGAGTCTTTTTCACTGACCCTCCAGCTTTCCAAGGTATGTGAGATGAAGCTTTGACATCCTTGCCTCTAAGGAGCACTCTGCTTGCACTTTCTGTTGGTTCTTTTGCTTGTCCATGAGATACTCATGGACTCTTCCCCAACAGCACAGCTCAAAGGCATCAGTCCTTTTGTTATCCTTACTCACTGTCCAGCTCTCAGGTGCACAGCCAGGGATTTTAAAGGCCATGGTCTAAGGTGCACGTTTGTCTTTAAACCGGTTATCGTTGCTCCCCAATAACTTGGAGTCCTTCCCAGTAAAATATGTCTCCTCATCTCATTGTTGGTACCAAGGGTGTTGACTAGGGATCCAAGTAAGAGGAAGTGGATCGAAGAACCATGATGTCCATGACAAGTAACCCGAGGCACAGGAAAATTGTGTGTCCCAGGTCATTCAGAGAGGCCAGCCTCTCGGCCACTGTGTCCATCCTCCTTCAGCCATTCCAGCGGGCAATTCAAGCGAGGTTATCATCCCATTCTTTAATCAGACAAGACAGCGGAGCACAGAGGAGTTTAAAAACTCACAAAGGTCACACAGCCAGAGGGCACCGAGGCAACAGTCCTTCGGATGGGAAAGCTGGAGGGAACTGATTTGCCCAAAATCCTGCAGCCCCAAAAAATAGTGGATGCTAGCTGCACTCTGCTTCTGCCTTGTCACACAATGCCAGGGTGCAAACAACTTCACTTTTCTTCCAAAGGAATAAAATGAAAAACCAAACAAACTGTAGTCCTCATCACATAGATTTCTCTTCTCCTAATATTTCCCACGTTCTGCATGCTTTATATTTGTGTAGTTCAGAAAATATTTTTGTTTTGGTTTTTTTTT